AGCCTGATAAGGCTAAGGAGGGCGAGTAGCTCTCTGTGCTGTGCAAATGTGCCCTAGATATGTGGGCAGCAGACCCAAAGCTCTGAGACAGATGGTAATCTCTTTTGCTTTGTCCCCCCTCCATCTCTGGCCACTGGTTCCTGTTGATGTGACATTCTTGTTCTAAAAACAGACATGTAACACCTCAAGCAGATTTGCAGTCCCTTGACAGCAGTCTTGTCTGGCACATAAAGGGCCTCTGCCTTTCTGCCTGGCTTCCCAGAGTCCGGGGGGTAGAGGTGAGGATCAGTCCAAGGGGGCTGCCCAGAGAGCAGCGTGGTGCCTGACCCCACCCCTCACCCCTCTGGAAAGCGGAGGTGCCAGGAGTCAGAGCTCCATTTGTCTTGGAGCCCCTGCAATGGATTGCTGATACTGAGGAAGGCTGATGATGTTGTTTATTCTTTGCCCCTCTAGCCCCTTGGCTGCTTTGAGTGACAATCCAGAGCATACCCTTGAGGTTAGGCACTTCCTGTCCAGAGTAGGGTGACTCCACCCTCAGATGGAGGCCCTCCGCTGCAGAGACATGGAATCCAGGCATGCTCCCTGCTCTGCTTCCAGGAGGCTGCCTGCCCCAGGCACTTTACAAACCAACTGTGAAGCATAGCAGCAGGCCAGGAATGGCCCGGGCATTGCTTCCCTGGGGTCTCAAGTGTGCCCTGTCACTCTGGCCATTCTGTTATCTTTATCCAGGGTCACCGAGGCCTCCCCACGGGGGCTGGGGGCTCTGGGCTCCGTCCTGGCCAGGGCAGAGCATGGATAGCAGCCTCAGCTCCTCCAGCAGCTGGGGCTGGCACTGGTCTCATGGCCTCAAGCCTGGTACCCAGTGGGTGGGTGAGCCCTGGGCACTTGTGGGCCCCCTGTGTGAGGCCCCCCCTTCTCTTGTCAAGTCCCCCCAGTGACAGGTGCAGCTCCTGCCTTAGTTTCCCATCCCATGCTCTAGAACCCCCTCTCAGCCCGTTGTTTGTCCCTGAGGTCGAGCCACCTTGGCTGGGCCCCTGATGCCCCTCTCCAGCTCCTGCCAGCACCTGAACCGGGGACTATCTCTTCTCTAAGGTCACTTACTGGGAGACTCAGTTTCCTTATCATTCATAGGGGTGATGTCACCTGCCCTGCAGTTTTGTCGGAAAGGACAATGAAAACGTTTCTAGTGCATCTAACAAAGTCTCTGGCATAGAGCAAGTGCTCTGTGAAAGGCGGCCATGATCGTTCCTGGTGTTAACAACCTTCTCCATCTTTCTGGCTTCCACCTGACTCTGGGAGGTGCTGCTGCGTGAGGCTCACATTTGGACCCCTGAGAGCAGTGCTGCCCAGTAGAACTTCCTGCAGTCATGGAAATGTTCTGTGTCTAAGCTGACCAATATGCTGGCAGGCCCTCTTGAAATGTGGCCAGTGAAAAAACATTTTTTAAAAATTAAATTTAAATTAATTTAAATGTAAATAGCTGCATGTGAACAGGGGCTACTGAATGGGACAGCACAGCCTTCAAAAGGAACACTGGCCTGGTTCATTCATCAGACAAATGTTTATTGAGAGCCAACTTGCTGCCCCTTGAGGTGCTGGGATTTCAACAGTGGACAATACAGGCAAGGGCCTTGCTGTCATGGTGACAGGAAAAGTTAAATAAATAAATAAGGCAATTCAGACAGTGACAAGGGACGCAGACAACCCCAGAGCGCCCTCAAGCGCTAAAGCAGGAGTGTACTTGCTGTCTTTTTTCTTTTTTAAAAATCTTTATTTCCTTTATTGGACGAAATGATTCCCTTTCCTTTATTTTCAAAAATGTTCACTATTTCGAAAATTCCTGATCCATGAAGAGAAATTCCATTTAAGTAGGTTCTGTTATATTGTTTTGTCTCTTGATGGACTAGTCCTGTTTGTTATTATTATTATTATTTGCTTCGTAAATAAGCTTTATTTAAGCTTTAAATAGCACATAATTTCAGTTACATAAGTTATTCCAAGGCAAAGAAAATGATGAACAGCTCCCTGATTTATTATGGAATTCATAGTGACTTAAATAGCAAAACTTGATATTATCAGGAAAGAAAAATATATACCAATTCTATGTATACATAGAGATGCAAAATTTCTAAATAGTAACAAATAGAATTTAACAATATATAAAAAATAATTCACTATTAGCAAGCAGGGTTTATTACAGGAATGCAAATGTAGTTCAAGAAGTTAATCAACATAACTTAATCAACAGATTACTAGAGAAAATATTTTTGGACATGTAAAAAATTTGATATAATCTACGTTTAATTACAGTTTATACATCAAAAGGCTTTGCCTTTGTGTTAGTCTGTTCGGGCGGCCGTAACAAAGGCACAGACTGGGGAACTTAACAACAAAAATATATTTTCTCATAGTTCTGGAGGCTGGAAGTCCAAGATTAAGATGTAGGCAGGGTTGGTTTCTCCGGAGGCCTCTGTCTTTGGCTTGAAGATGGCTATCTTCTTGTGTCCTCATATGGTCTCTTTTCCACGTGTATCCGAGTCTTAATCTCTTCTTCTTATAAGGACACCAATCATATTGGGCTAGGGACCACACTAAGGGCTCATTTTAACTTAATCATCCTTTAAAGATCTTGTCTCCAGGGAGTTCCCTGGTGGTCCAATGGGTAAGACTCTGCGCTCCCAATGCAGGGGGCCCGGGTTTGATCCCTGGTCGGGGAACTAGATCCCACATGCATGTCGCGACTAAGAAATCTGCATGCCGCAACTAAGAAGTCGGTATGCCGCAACTAAAGATCCCACATGCCAAAACAAAGATCCCACATGCCGCAACTAAGACCCAGTTCAGGCTAAATAAATAAATATTAAAAAAAAAAAGATCCTGTCTCCAAATAGAATCACATTCTGAGGTACTGGGGGTTAGGACTTCAGCATATGAATTTTGAGGAGATAACAGCTAAGCTCATAAGCACATCTTCAAAAACATTGTGGCATTGAACTTCAGCTACTTAATTGTATAGCTTGTAAAGCTCATGCCCTTGGTAGCATCTCTTAAAATGTTTCATGTACGCACAATGGCATTTAGCAGACCAAACAGGGCCTTCACTTCAACCAAGTCACAGGAGTTAATTCCATTTGGCTTTGCTTTGCGCTTGACAACTGGCACCTAAGTAAAGGAAAATAAGTACTTTCTACCCAAATTCTTTCCACCAACACTGATTCCTTGCTCTTGAGAGCCTCTTTTTCTCCTCGGACACAGTTTATAGAGGAAGACCTGCCAACAAACACCCCGATTATCCCTAGACATTAGAGCACCTAAGATCCATCTAGTGGCTACAGATCTTAGCATCTCAGTGGATATAATTGCCCCTTTTGAAAAACAACCAATTTGAGATAAAAATTAAATACAAAAATCAAGGACTAAATGTTGAGTAATGCGGTGTCCCCAGGGTTGTACTGATGACATAATTGCTGGTGAATTACACCCACTGAGAGGTTGAATTAGATCCATCCTTATGGCCCTGCAGTGTGCACAGTGCAAAATTGTGCTAGAATTTAGAGACACTACGTTTGACAATATATTTATTAAGTGACTCAAAAAGGGAAGGTCTGAAGTATAATATGTTCTGAGAGAGAGGCATGGAAATCGTTGTGTACACACTGGTTTTACTGTAACAAGGCAATGTGCACATTTTAACATTTAAGACAGAACATCTTTTTTTCCTTTCCAGTGAAACTAAAAGAAAAACAACAAACTTTTTTTTAAACAATTTTTTAAAAATTTATTTATTTTTGGCTGCATTGGGTCTTCATTGCTGGGCTTTCTCTAGTTGTGGTGAGTGGGGGCTACTCTTGGTTGCAGTGCAGGCTTCTCATTGCGGTGGCTTCTCTTATTGTGGAGCACAGGCTCTAGGCGTGCGGGCTTCAGTAGCTGCAGCACGCGGGCTCGGTAGACGTGGCTTGTGGGCTCTAGAGCTCAGGCTCAGTAGTTGTGGTGCATGGGCTTAGTTGTCCACAGCATGTGGGATCTTCCCAGACCAGGGCTTAAACCCGTGTCCCCTGCATTGGCAGGTGGGTTCTTAACCACTGCGCCACCAGGGAAGCCCCCAAACTTTTTATAATGGAAAAATGTTAAGCATTTGCAAAAGTAGGGTAAGTAGTACAATGAACCCCCATAGACCCATTGCCCAGCTTAAGTAATGATCACCATATTGCCAACCTTGCTTCATCCCTTCTCCCCATCCCCTCTTTTTCTTGGTTGGAATATTTTAAAGCACATGTAGACGTGTCATAAAAAGAAAATTTAAAAATAAAACAGAACAAAAATTACAATACAGAATGTCATTTCCAAATAAGATCCTTTATGTTCGGCTGATTCTCCATCAAGTGGCAGGGCTCCAGTCATCATTAGGAGAGGATTTTATTTTTAAAGCGACAGTTTCAGTGGTGAGAACATCCGTTAAGCATCACCCAAGAAGAAGCTATATTGTCAACGTGCCCGCTTAACCCTCCCAAACATCTCAAACCACCTTCTGATGATTTTCTTTAATCCTGCTTTTCTGGTTTTACACAGAAAGAGTAGAGATCTAAATGCTGGTATTTGCTTGATGTCCATATTCACATGGATACAGTTACAGGGAAAGAAAGAAGAGCACTGGGGCTCTGCCTGCCTCCCCACAGGTGCCTGGCAGCCTCCCGGGCCACAGGAGTGCACGTTGTCCTTTTTCTCATGGAGCACAGTGGTGTGTGCATCCTGTAAGCGTTTTGTTGAGAAAGGAAAAAGGGATAAAAAGGAAGTTGGAACAGAAAACAACTCCTCTCCTCCCTGCCCCAAATAAACTGTGTATCAAGGTGTAAAGAGGTCAAGAGAGGCTTCAGGAGCGCCAGGGGATGAAACATCAGAGAAGAGAGCAGACTATTCCCTTGCTGCCAGGATCCTGAGAAAATTAGAAAGGCTAGTTGGAAAAGGAAGGTTGGACTCCATCAGTGTTTTCTTTGTCTTGCTCTCTTCTCGCTCCCCATCGTCTTCTTTGGCTTTCATCTTCACCTCCTCCTCCTTCAATGTCCTCCAAGTCGCCATGGTCAACACTCCCTCCCTTTCCATGCCTCCCTGTCCACTGTACCTTCCCCTTCTCTCTTGGTTCTGGTTATTACTGCTGCATAACAAATTACCCCTACATGGAGCACCTTAAAATAACTCTTTTATGGGCTTCCCTGGTGGCGCAGTGGTTGAGAGTCCGCCTGCCGATGCAGGGCACACGGGTTCGTGCCCCGGTCCGGGAAGATCCCACGTGCCGCGGAGCGGCTGGGCCCGTGAGCCGTGGCCGCTGAGCCTGCGCGTCCGGAGCCTGTGCTCCGCAACGGGAGAGGCCACAACAGTGAGAGGCCCGCGTACTGAAAAAAAAAACCAAAACAAAACTCTTTTATTTTGCTCTCTATTTGGTAGGTCAGGAATTGTGAAAGGCCTTGACCGGGCAGCTCTTGATTGGGGTTTCCCACTTGGTTAAGGGCACTACTGGCTGGGAATGCAGTCATCTGAAGGCATGACTAGGCTGGCCATCCAAGATGGCGCACCCATGTGGCTGCCAGTTGATGCTCACTGGCTGTTGGCTGCTCCAAGTGGCCTCTCCAGTGTGGCAGCCTCTGGGGGGCTGATTTCTCACATAAGAGCCAGCTTCCTCCAAGGTGAGCGTCCCAAGAAAGCCAGGTGGAGGCTGCATGGCTCCTTCTGACTAAACCTTGCGGGGGCGGTTGTCACAGTCAATTCTGCCATACTCTATTGGTAGATGCAGTCAAAAGCCCTCCGAGATTCAAAGGGAGGGGACTGGACCCCACCTCTTGATGCGGGGAGTGGCAAGGCCACATTGAGGAAGCGCATGTGGTATGGGAGAGGTTGCTGTGGCTGTCTTTGGATAATGCAGTCTTCCACATCTTCCATATCAGTTCTGCAGGGGGTTTGGCCAGATACCATCTTTGACGGTTAGTCCTAACTCACGTGAACCTGCTTTAGCAGGCAAAGAAAGACGCTTCTGCTCGTGCTGTCTCTTCTCCCTGGCTTCTTCAGCCCCTGCCTGGATGCTTGGCCAAGTTCCTCCTAGATTTCCACAGATTTCAGTTGACTTTGATGATAGCTCACCATTCTTAGATGAAACTCTGAGGAGGGCACTCTATTTCCAAGAGAATTCTCATCAAGATAAAACTTTAGTGAGTAACTCCATTTAAAATTTGTCACTTCAACTCTGGTCAAAAAATACAGAGCTCTTAGGGACTTCCCTGGTGGCGCAGTGGTTGAGAATCTGCCTGCCAATGCAGGGGACACGGGTTCGAGCCCTGGTCTGGGAGGATCCCACGTGCCGCGGAGCAACTAGCCCCGTGAGCCACAATTACTGAGCCTGCACGCCTGGAGCCTGTGTTCCGCGACAAGAGAGCCCGCAATAGTGAGAGGCCTGCGCACCGCGATGAAGAGTGGCCCCCACTTGCCGCAGCTAGAGAAGGCCCTCGCACAGAAACGAAGACCCAACACAGCCATAAATAAATAAATAAATAAATAAAAAGGCAAAATTCCTTAAAAAAAAAAAAAAGGAAAAGAATATCTCTTTAAAAAAAAAAAGTACAGAGCTCTTCATCTTCCTCCCCAGGCAATGCAGACATCACCAAGGGTTGACAAATGTTGTTTCCCAGAAATCTGGGCTTCATTTGTTCTTCTTTTTCTAGTTTCCTAAGGTGGAAGCTTAGGTTATTGATTTTAGATATTTTTTAATATATGAATTCAATGCTATATTGCCTTTAAGCACTGCTTTTGCTGCATTCCACAAATTTTGATTGTTGTGTTTTCATTCTCATTTGGTTCAAAATATTTTAAAATTTCTTTTGAGCCTTCCTCTTTGACCCACATGTTATTTAGAAGTGTGCTGTTTAATCCCCAAGTGTTAAACACACAACTTGGAAGTTTCTGGCTATTTATCAATTACTGATTTTTAGTTTAATTCCATTGTAGTCTCACAGCATAATTTGTATGATTTCATTCTTTTAAATTTGGTAAAGTGTGTTTTATGGCTCAGAATATGGTCTATTTTGGTGAATGGTCCATATGAGTTAGAGATGAATGTATGTTCTCCTTTTGTTGGATTAAATATTCTGTAGATGCCAATTAGATCCAGTTGATTGATGGTGCTGTTCAGTTCAACTGTGTCTTTTCTGATTTTCTCCTTGCTAGATCTGTCAATTACTGACAGAGGGGTTTTGAAGTCTCCAACTATAATAGTGTATTCCTTTATTTTTCCTTGAAGTTCTATTAGTTTTTGCCTCATGTATTTCGATGCTCTGTTGTTAGGGGCAAACACATTAAGGATTGTTATGTTTTCTTGGAGAACTGACCTTTTTGTCATTAGGTAGTGCTCTGCTTTATCCCTGATAATTTTCCATCTTCTGAAGTCTGTTTGGTCTGAGATTAATAGAGGCACTCAGCTTTCTTTCTTTTTTTTGTGGTACGCGGGCCGCTCACTGTTGTGGCCTCTCCCGTTGCGGAGCACAGGCTCCGGACGCGCAGGCTCAGCGGCCATGGCTCACGGGCCCAGCCGCCCTGTGGCATGTGGGATCTTCCCGGACTGGGTCATGAACCCATGTCCCCTGCATCGGCAAGAGGACTCTCAACCACTGCGCCACCAGGGAAGCCCTCAGCTTCCTTTTGACTAGTGTTAGTGTGCTATAACTTTCTCCATCCCTTTACTTTTAAAAACTTGTTATTAAAAAGGATTTTAATTGTGGTAAAATACACATAGCATTAAATTTACCATCTTTATCAATTTTATGTGTACAGTTCACTAATGTTATATATATATATATATATATCCACATTGTTATATAATCAGTCTCCAGAACTCTTTTCATCTTGCAAAACAGAAACTGTATACCCATTAAACAACAATTACCCTGCTCACCATCCCTCGCAACCACCACTCGACTTTCTGTCTCTATGAATTTGACTAGGCTAGGTTCCTCATGTAAGTGGAATCATACGGTATTTGTCCTTTTGTGACTGGCTTATTTCACTTGCTATAATGTCCTCAAGGCTCATCTGTGTTGTAGCATGTGTCAGAATTTCCTTCCTTCTTAAGGCTGAATGATATTCCATTGTGTGCATATCCTGCATTTGTTGATCCATCATCTGTCAATGGAAAGTTTCATTGTTTCCATTTCTTGGCTATTATGAGTTGCTTCTATGAACATGCTTGTGAAAATATCTCTTTAAGACCCTGGTTTCAACTGTTTTGAGTATATACCCAGAGGTGGAATTGCTGGATCATATGATAATTCTACTTTTAATTTTTTGAGGAACTGCCATACTGTTTTCCATAGTGGCTGCACCACTTTGCATTCCTGACAATAATGCACAGGGTTTGGATTTCTCACATCCTTGTCAACACTAGTTATTTTCTGGTTTTGTTTTGACAATAATCATCCTAAGGGTATGAGGTGGTATCTCATTGTAGTTTTGATTTACATTTGCTTAATGATTAGTGATGTTAAGCAACTTTTCATGTACTTTTTGGCCATTTGTATATCTTCTTTGGAGAAATGTCTATTTAAGTCCTTTGCCCCTTTTAAATCGGGCTTTTGTTATTGTTGTTGTGTTGTAGGAATTATTTATGTATTCTGAATATCAATTCCTTATCAGATATATGATTTGTAACTTATTTTCTCCCATTTGTCAGTTGCCTTTTTACTCTGTTAATCATGTCCTTTGATGCACAGAAGTTTTTAATTTTGATGTAGTCCAACATGCCTATTTTTGCTTTTGGTGTCATATCCAAGAAATCATTGCCAAAGCCAGTTATGAAGCTTTTCTTGTACGTTTTCTTCTAAGAGTTTTAGAGTTTTTGGTCTTACATTTAGGTCTCTGATCCATTTTGAGTTAATGTTTATACAGTTGTGAGGTAAGGGTCCAACTTCATTCTTTTGCATGTGGATATCCACTTTCCTAGAACCATTTGTTGAAAAGACTGTTCTTTCCTCATTGAATGGTCTTGGTACCCTTGTCAAAACCATTTGACCATATATGTGAGGGTTTATTTCTGGGCTCTCTATTCTATTCCATTTGTCTATATGTCTGTCTTTATGCCAGTAGCACACTGTTTTTACTACTGTAGATTTATAGTAAGTTTGAAATCAGGAAGTATGAGACCTCTAACTTTGTTCTTTTTTTCAAGATCATCTTCTCTATTTGGAGTCCTTTGAGATTCCATATGAATTTTAGGATAGAATTTTCTGTTTCTGTAAAAAACACTGTTGGGATTTTGATAGAGATTGCATTGAATATGTAGATTACATTGGGTAGTCTTCCCTTTATTTTTAATCTATCTGCGTCTTTAAAATGGATTTCTTATAGACATATAGTTGGGTTTTTTAAAAAAATGCACTGTCTCTGTTTTCAGTTGGTGTATTAGACCACTGATGTTTAAAGTGATGTTTAAAATGATCTACCATATTTGTTATTGTTTTCTATGTGTTGCTCTTACTCTTTTTTTGTTTTGTTTTATTTTGTTCTCCACTCTTTTTCGGACTTCTCTGGTTTTAATTGAGCACTTTGTGTAATTTCATTTTTTCTCTTCTCTTTGTCTATTAAATATACTTTTTTATTTTATAAATTTATTTATTTATATTTTATTTTTGGCTGTGTTGGGTCCTCGCTGCAGCGAGCAGGGGCTACTCTTCATTGTGGTGCATAGGCCTCTCACTGCCGCGGCCTCTCCCGTTGCAGAACGCGGGCTGCGGGCTCTAGAGCACAGGCTTAGCAGCTGTGGCGCACGGGCCTATTTGCTCCTCGGCATGTGAGATCCTCCCGGACCAGGGCCCGAACCCACATCTCCTGCACCGGCAGGCAGACTCCCAACCACTGCACCACCAGGGAAGTCCCTAAATATACTTCTTTTTATGAGTGATTGTCCTTGACTTTATATCCCAACATTTCTGCCACATCTGAGTCAGGTTCTGATGCTTGCTCTGTTTATTCAAACCAAGTGTTTTTTTTTTTCGTATGCCTTATAATTTGGAGGTACTGGGTAAAAGCACTGGGGTAAG